CCCAGCGCCCCCGCCTTGTGTGTTGCAGACCCCGACAGCCAGTGCAGCCCCACGCGGCAGAGCCTCGGCCCGTCGGAGGGCGAGGAGCAGGTGGACCGGCTGCAGCAGGTGGAGCTGGTCAGGACCACCCCCATGTCCCACTGGAAGGCGGGCACCGTGCAGGCCTGGCTGGAGGTGGTCATGGCCATGCCCATGTACGTCAAGGCCTGTGCAGAGAACGTGAAGAGCGGGAAGGTAGGGCACCTCCGGACCCCTGTGGGAATGCCCCCCCCATGAGCTTCACCAGCCCCAAGCTGGCCTGCCCCCCCCACCCCCATGCTCAGGGTTGGGAGATGTCATCTAGGTGCCAGTGCCAGTGTCCCCATAAATCACCGTGTCTCCCTGGCAAGGCACTGAACCCTCTGAGCCCCAGCTTCCTCACCTTTCAAGGGGGGCTAGCCCTCCTTTACCAGGCCGAAGGGAGGCAGGGCTCACGGGAGGGCTCTTTCCCCCTGGGTGGGGATCCCCCCACCTCCTGGAGCCCCTGCCGGAGAGGCTGCGGGTGCCCCGGTGCCCTGCCATGACCTCAGGGAAGGTGGGCAGGGAGATGGGGACAGGTGGCCCCAACCAGCAGACCCCTGTGGGGCTCAGCCCCAGCTGACGGCGCTCACCCCCAAACCTCCCTTCCGGGCGCTCAGTCCCCGCCTTTCTGGGGAGCAGGTGCTGCTGAGTCTGAGCGACGAGGACCTGGAGCTGGGCCTGGGCGTGTGCAGCTCCCTGCACCGGCGCAAGCTGCGGCTGGCCATCGAGGACTACCGCGACGCCGAGGCGGGCAGGAGGTGAGCGGGCCCGGCACCCCGCCTGGCTGGCCCCGGGGAGAGGGGGAAAGTCCCCCAGGGGCCTCCGATCATACGGGTGGGGTGAAGGGGCGCTGTAGGCTGGGCCGGGGGTGCAGAATGATGGATGTGACTGCAATGGTCCCAAACGCCACCAGGCAGGAGGCCCAGGCACACCCCAGTCCCTCCCAGGGAAAGATGGGGACCAGGGAATAAGTGAGGCCCCAAATCCGCACGATCCCCCCAGTGCAGGAGTTGGGGAGGCTGCACACACCCCCAGAACTCCTCTCTCTCTGAGGATGGCCACCCCGGGTGGATCTGGGCTTTAGGCCACAGGGTCTGCTCCGCCTGCATCCAGCTCAGACTCCAGCTCCTAGGACCCCAGGGCGAGGAGTGTGGCGTAGGCTGGGGGCGCAGGGCGGGACAGAAGAGACGGAGGCAGTGGGCCGGTGGGAGGGGGCTCCTCTCAGGAAGCACGCCAGGGGATGGTCGAGGGTCCCTCCCATCAGGGGTGTCCCCGCCGCCCTGCCCCACGGCTCGCAACACCCCACACCCCTGGCACGGCCCACCTGGCTGGCCTGCCTCCTGCCCGCCTCTCTCCTGACCCTTTGTGAGCAGGACTTGTCTGGGGGGACTCATTCAGCAAGCAGCTCCAGGGAAAAGGGAGGGACACCCCCCCCCCACTCCCACACCCACACTCACACTCACAAGCGCTCACTGTGCGGCGGGGGAGAATCTGACGCTTTCGCTGTGCATAATCATCTCCTTCGCCGGTTGCCCCATCGTTTCTGTGCTGTTAATTAATCAAACCCGGTGGCGCGTGCGATTATTTGCAGAAGCAGCTTTGTGGATTAAAAAAAAAGACGGGGCTGAGCCTGGGAAATCGGGTGGGTTTGGAGGCAGGAAAACCAAATCCCTGTGTCCGGGAGAGGGGGGCCCTGGGCAGCGAGGGCCCTGGGCGGCGTTCCAAGGCGGCAGGAAATAATGAAACTCGGGGAGCAACTGAAAACAAGCAAAACTGGAAGGTGCCGGGCCTGTCCCGAGTCAGGACCCTGCCGTCCTAGGTGACCGGGCTGGAGGTGAGGGCGGAGGACCGGCCCCCGCTGAGATCCCCCTCCTGCGTTGCGGGTCCCGCAGCACCTCACACTCACCACCCTCCCTAACCAGTGGCTTCCTCGGAATCCCCGTTCTCTGTCACCCAAGCTGGAACCCCCTCCCGCCCCCGGGTCCCACTCCCAATGCAGCCAGTAAATGCTGCTTGTGCCCACTGAACAGGGGGCTGCCTGCTTCACCTCTCAAAAAACACAGGATCTCTGCCTCAGTCCCCCCGAAACGCGGCTGACCCCGAAAACCTCCAGGAGCCGAGATTCTCCGGGGTGGATTCGAATCAGCAGCCAGATGCAAAGAGATGTGAAAGATTACAAGAGATGTGAGCAGGGCTATTTCCAGGGGTCGCGGGCCCAGCACTGGGCGCCCGGAGAAGGAGGGGCCTTAATTTGAGGGTCCCGTTCACTCCCTGCCCCTACCTGCCCTGTGACCTGCTCTCTCTGGGGTCGTTTCTCCACCTATGAAGTGAAGGGGGTAAGTTAAGACAGTGGTTCTTTAAATTTCGGGGACCGTGGTCCCTTTGAGAATCTAGTAAAAACTTACAACACTTTTGCCGGAAGAAATATACAAAACTTCACAGGTTTGCGCTCCGGGGATCCTCCGACCCACCCGTACAACTAGGGCAAGAACCGCAGGGAGGTCGCCATGCTGGACACATGCTGTGTGACGCCTGCGTGCCGTTGCCCTCTCTGGGCCCGGTTCCCCTCGTCTCTAGACAATGAAACACACCAGCACATGCCAACCATCACCCACCACGTTATGGACACGGTTTTATTTAACCGTCACAACCCCGATGTAGGATGCACACTCTTGCCCCCATTTTAAAGATGGGAAAAGTGAGGCCCAGGGAAGTCCTGGGCACAAAGTCACACCACAAAATACCAGACTTTAAAGTCAACCCCCTTTCCTGTACCCCGTGTCCCCTCTGTGTTCAAACAGCAGCAACAGCGCCTCCTCCTAGCATCTGTGGAACCTCAGTGAGCCCCGGATCCTGTGCTCTGGGTTTGCCCGTCTCTCGTCTCCGAGTCCTCACAACCCCAGGAGTCTAACACGCTCAGCCCCATTTTGCAGATGAGGAAACTGAGGCACAGAGGTGCAAGGTCTCAGCCAGCACAGTCCCGTGTTTTCTGTGTCCAATAATGACCCAGGTATCTAAATCTGTGCCCAAAAACGAGCCCCCGTTTGGGGAGGGGGCAGCGTCAAACTTGATTAAATGCCTTCAATTACTTCTAAGGTCACGCAGTTGGATTCAAGTTGGTGCTCACAATAGCTCAGCCCAGCAGCTGAGAATGCGCTGCCCAGCTGAGGCCCTGGGGGGACGATTTTGATGAAAAGAGACCGCTCTGAAGGGCAGGAGCACGTTCATTATCAGCCTGCCCGTGGATATCGCTGGTTTTAAATGGGCCTCTCTCAAGCAGGTTAGCAGGTGCCCCTCCCACCCACCACCCCACGGCCTGTGGCACCACTGACTTGCTGAGCAGAGCCATCCTGCAGCCAGGACAGGAGCTGGCCCTGGTCTCTGGCAGGGACGGCCTGGCCCAGTGCTATCTGATTCAGAGGGTTGCCAGTTCCTACTCCTTCCCTGGAGAGAGCAACGATGGCCGGGCCTGGGAAGGGTCCCTCTGAGCTGACCATGCTGGAGCTGGCCCTAGAGGGCCTGGGACGGGGTCTACCTGCATCCCAGTAGGGAGCTTGTCTTCCAGAGGTTCCAGGTCAGGAGCTCCGTCTCCGGCAGCCTCCTGGTGGCCTGGAGCCAACGCCCCACTCACTGGTTTTCCACGCGGGAAGCTGTTGAGCATTAACTCTGAGCCAGGTGGGGCCACTGGGCGCTCCTAGATACGCCACACCCGGGCCTGCCCTCCAGGAGCTGGCGGCCAGGCAGGCAGCTGGCCGGGGGAGCAGCAGTTGATTCCCTGGGGTGACAGGTACAGGGGTGGGACTGCCTGGAGGCTCTGGGCACAGACAGGGTCCTGACCCGGCATCTCAGGGGCCCGGAAGGTTTCAGAGAGAGCGAGAGAGCGGAATCTCAGCAGAGGCCTGTAGGAGTGGGGCAGGTGAGGAGGGTGGGGTGGGCTGGAGACCCGGAGGCCCTGGCCCCTGGGGGCAGGCTCAGTGGTCTGGGCGGTGAGGGGGAGGAGGAGAGGGGAGCCAGGAGCCCCCCCTTTGAATGAAGTGCTGCTCTTCGGCCCAGCCCGGCTGGCCAGCAGCGAACAATCCCTGTGCTCAGATCAGTTACCTCTCAAGTTCCATGGGTGGCCAGCGCTTAAAAGGAAAAATACTTAGAGGCAGAGGGCCCGGGCTGGGGCTGGGGCCTGGGGGAGCGACTTTAGACAGCACAGCCCGAGCAAACTCTCCCTGCAAGGGGAATTGAGACCTGGGGGCCCAGGAGTGAGCCCGGGGTGGGGAGGTGGGAGGGGGCGCCCCACAGCCCAGGGCAAAGAGCTCAGTGCAGCTGGGAATTTGCCCCGGGCCTTGGCCTGGTGCCGGAGGGGAGGGCAGGCCTCCTGGGCCCCTCCAAGGACTTCCGGCTTTATTCCTGCAAAGGAAATTCCCTGTAGAGTTTTCCCGGTTTGTTTTATTTCAATCTACCTTTTGTTCTTTCCTCCCTCTTTTTATTGGGTGAAATGCTCCCACTTCTGGCTTCTGAGCTGCACCTTCTTTGTTCCCGTTTCTATCGCTGCCGTCGGGGTTACGATACACACACTTAGCTAACCGCTGTCTACAACTTACGCGACTTTGTCTACGGTATAAAATGACTTCTCCTGCCCTTTGTGCTACTGTTTTCACATGTAAATAAGACGCTCCATCCTACATTGTCCTCAGGATCCATCCGCATGGCCTCGTCTTGCAGAATTTCTTTTTTTTAAAGGCTGAATAATATTCCATTATGTGTGTTCACCAGTTGGCGAGTCCGTTCCTCTGTCGGCAGGCACCGGGTGGCTCCCACCTGCTGGCTGTGTGACTGGCGCTGCTATGATCGCGGCTGTCCAAAACCCTCTGCAAGGCCCCGCTTCCCATTCCTTTGGGTCTGTGCCCAGAAGCGGAGTTGCTGGACCATATGGTGGTTCTAATTTTAATTTTTTGAGGAACCACCGCCCTGGTTTCTGCCGTGGTGGCACCGTTTTACCTCCCCACCCACCCCCAGTGCACAAGGGGTGCAAAGCCTCCACTGTCCCCACAACGCGTGTCTGGCGGGGGTTTTGATAGAAACCGTCCTGATGGGGCGAGGCGGCATTTCCCTGTAGTTCTGGTTTGCGTTTCCCTGAGGATTGGTGCCCTTGAGTGTCTTACCACGAGCTTCTTGGACACGCATATCACACCTTCTTCAGCGGAATGTCTGTGACAGTCGCTTGCCCATTTCTGAATCGGGGTATCTTTCTGTTGTTGAGTCCAGGAGTTCTCTTTTCGGTTCTTTTAAACGTGGAGTCCAAATTTCCACACGGCTATTACGCGTTTCCTTTCCCCTTAAAGAAATCCCTTCAACCTTTCTTGGAGTTCATGCCTCTCAGGATGAATTCTTTCCATTTTGCTTGTTAAGAAAAGTCTTTGTTTCTGAAGACTTGTTTTTCAGAGCGGAGTTAAGTTCACAGCAAAATAGGGAGGCAGGTAAGGGGATTTCCCTTGAGCACCCTCCCCCCACAGGCACAGCCCCGCCGTCAGCACCTCTCCCACCCCACGGAGCCTGTGTTCCACTTAAACCTGTGACAGTGGACACAGCATCTCCCCAAGTGCACAGTGTACGTTAGGGTTCGCCCTGGGCACGGTGCGGTCTGTGGGTTTGGATGCACATAAGGGCCCACGTCCATCGTCACGGCGTCAGAGCAGTTTCACTGCCTTAGAAATCCTCTGTTCACCCCCTCCCCCCACCCGGCGACCGCTGACCTCACTGTGTCCCTCGTCTTCCCTTTTCCAGAACGGCATGAAGCCGTTTCGGGCTGGCTTCTAAGGTTTCGCTTCGTCACGCGCATGTGAGGTTCCTCCACCGGAGGACTTAAGCGGAGGGGTGACGTCCCCTAACTGCAGCCGTGGGGAAGGCGCATTGGAAGGGACAAGGTGGGCGGGGCAGCAGGGGCAGGTG